ATATTCCTAACCAAACAATATAACATTATATTCCTAACCAAACAATATAACATTCTATTCCCAATCAAACAATGTGACATTCTATTACCAGCTGAACAATGTAACATTTTATTCCTAACCAAACAATATAACATTCTATTCCCAATCAAACAATGTGGCATTCTATTCCCAATCAAACAATGTGACATTCTATTCCCAATCAAACAATGTGACATTCTATTCCCAATCAAACAATGTAACATTCTATTCCTAACCAAACAATGTGACATTCTATTCCCAATCAAACAATGTGACATTCTATTTCCAATCAAACAATGTGACATTCTATTCCCAATCAAACAATGTGGCATTCTATTTTAACCAAACAATGTAACATTCTATTTCTAACCAAACAATGTAATATTCTATTTCTAACCATATGTACGAATACGGTAAGATAACTTTATTAATCACTTTTCTGAATTTCAAAACCGAACTAGACTAAAACTTAAACTTTAAAAAAATCACTTGAACGAAGGTAGTGTACATAGTTACTCGATTCAATACAGATTCATTCTCATTCATGCGACGCCTGGTCTCGATTACAGTACTCCAGTTTTAGTAAACCACGCAACCCTGCTATATTTGTGATATATATATATTACAGTACTCCAGTTTTAGTAAACCACGCAACCCTGCTATATTTGTGATATATATATTACAGTACTCCAGTTTTAGTAAACCACGCAACCCTGCTATATTTGTGATATATATATTACAGTACTCCAGTTTTAGTAAACCACGCAACCCTGCTATATTTGTGATATATATATTACAGTACTCCCAGCCTTAGTAAACCACGCAACCCTGCTATATTTGTGATATATATATATCTATACTAACGTACCCGATTTTCTCTCAGCCTTTTGTTTCCTTCTGAATTTTACTCCAAGAAGAATTATTAGTATGACTAGAACCAGTCCTCCAGATACAGCGCACAGAAGCACCAAAACAGGCTTGAAGGCCCCAAACCAATCTTTTTCTGGAGCTGAAAAAATATAAGCATAATGTGAAATACGTTCGTGAAATTTCATCGCTACATTAAAGATTCAGAATTTTTTGATATATTTACATATTACTTAGAAAATTAACATATTGTAGTTTTAGTAAAACATTCAAAAACTAATTATAAGAAGCGTTTTTAATTTGTTTTTCGGTATAAGGTTTACTCAAAACTACAACACCAAAATAATATTATATACATTAATAACTTGGGCAAACCAGGAACTATGGTTGTAAAACTGTTTAAGGAAATGATACTTTAACTGATATACGATAAGATGATAAGATCAAAACACTACAACCCCAAAATAATATTATATACATTAATAACATGGGCAAAACAGGAACTATGGTTGTAAAACTGTTTAAGGAAATGATACATTAACTGATATACGATAAGATGATAAGATCAAAACACTACAACCCCAAAATAATATTATATACATTAATAACTTGGGCAAAACAGGAACTATGGTTGTAAAACTGTTTAAGGAAATGATACTTTAACTGATATACGATAAGATGATAAGATCAAACACTACAGCACCAAAATAATATTATATACATTAATAACATGGGCAAACCAGGAACTATGGTTGTAAAACTGTTTAAGGAAATGATACATTAACTGATATACGATAAGATGATAAGATCAAAACACTTTTTACGTGTCAACTGACATAAATGCGTTTTCTTTTGAAAGTTCTAATTCTGAGAAACGTTGCTATGTAATAGATATACATTTCTGTTGCCTACGAAGTGACCGTGTTACTTGCATGACTGAAACTGTATTATCGAGTTCTTTAATACAAATGTACAGTCACATAAGACTATTTACTGTGTCCACTGCGGGGAATTGAACTCCGGATTTTAGCGTTCTAGGTCCGTAAACTTGCTGCTGACACACTGAGGTTAACGTGCCTAACTATGGATCCGAGGTTTCAATATCGCTGTAAATTTAGTAGGAGTGGCATATTTGTTTATGAAAATGTGCCATTTTGGAATTCTTACATTTGTAATATACAAAGAAAGTCAGCTGTTGATAGTCGCTTTAAATTAAAGTCAACTATCCACATAGATCAACATCAAAAATTAACCCAGTAATGAACATAACCAAGTTAATACACTCTTGTTATTATAATGCACTTCTTGACCAGTTGGGCACTCTCGGTGTTACCAATATTTTCTGCCCTAATTCCAGTAATGAACACGAGGTTCGTCCTGTTTATGAAACCTAGTCTAGTCATAAGTCTATATAGCAATGTGAAATATCTCCTACAGTGAAAGTATATAATAATAAAGAAAGAAAAAATAGATGTATTAGCCGTTCTAGCCAACACTATGAAAACATTATAATTCACTCACATAAAACCAGCTATCATGGATTATCTGTCCATAGAAAAACGAAACTTTATGTCATCTTCTTAATAACGTGTTCTGACCAATGAAAAGTCATTAAACGGCTGTTACAATGCAACTTCGGGGCAGCCTGACATCTGAGATAAACCACGAGCAACGTAACATGTTAACGATTAACTACACAACTGAGTTGAGGGACAGTAGGGTTAATACAGCAAACATCTTATTTTTAGGGAGATAAACGTATTGTATGATAATGAATAGCAAATTAAATGAATAAAATAAGTTAGAATAATTATTCAAAAACCGATATTCTGTTCAAAATAACCAAGTTAATCTAATAAGATCATTCACAACACGCCTGATACGACTCTAACCTGTGTCATATGACACTCGGAGCGGGAAAAGGGAAGTCAACCGATATTCTGTTCAAAATAACCAAGTTAATCTAATAAGATCATTCACAACACGCCTGATACGACTTTAACCTGTGTCATATGATACTCGGAGCGGAAAAGGGAAGCCATAAATAAAATTAAACCCCAAGTAGCAGCTGAAATATATTTAAGCAATAATAATATTAGAGAAAACTATAATAACAATAAGACTTAACAACAACAAAAGTTATAGCAAAGGTAAATATTACAATTAAAGTACTTAACATAAACAAATGTAACAAAATTAATGACGTAATGTTATAATTATACAGTGGTTCATTATTTTATGTTTATGTTATTTAACTGTTTTACAGTTTTAAACTACGATAATAAATCAAATATGAACTTATAATACTCTGTTTAGTACAAATTTTAAAAGAGTTTTAGTCGGAACGTGATGAATTATAGACGTTTCGCTACTGAGATACTAAATATTCTTGCGATGAATGTAATGAGAACGTATTACTGACACAAGCCGACTACCTCATACTTGTCTGAGTTTGTTCAGTAAATAGTTAGTACAAATGATGTAAAAACAAGCTCATATTCAATGCTTTCTT